GAGGTGTATCCAATCAGATCTGTGTCTTTCTGGGATTTTGCCAAGAGACTGCAAGATAACTTTGACCGTGACTCACCTCCACCAATTGGTCATGCCATCGCCTCCTCACCCCTGGGACACCAAGTCACCTTCTCCATGTCTTCTCCATCCGCCTGGAGACATTACCTTCCTGCTACCGTCCAAACAGTTAAAACCGGTTTCCTCTCCTTCTCCCCTGTTCCTGTTGGCGCCACCTCTTCCACTAGCCAGTCCCAACAACGCCACCTCAACCTCCACACGACGACAACGTCGCAACCGTCACCAGCAGCCTCCTGAGGTCAGAGCTGCACCGTCAGCCCAGGTGTTTCCTGCTCTGCAACCTCAGTCCGAGCTCCACCCGCCACCACCATCAGCTCAGCCCGAGCTCCACCAGTCGTCAACATCAGCTCAGCATGAGCCCCACCCACCATCACCACATCCAGGTCCAGCGGTGGTCCCAGAGGTCACACCGCATCCAGGTCCAGTGGTGGTCCCACCGCAGCCTGTCCAAGGGGCTCGGCCCTCGGTGTTTCAGCCTGTCCAAGGGGCTCGGCCCCCGGTGTTTCAGCCTGTCCAAGGGGCTCGGCCCCCGGTGTTTCAGCCTGTCCAAGGGGCTCGGCCCCCGGTGTTTCAGCCTGTCCAAGGGGCTCGGCCCCCAGTGTTTCAGCCTGTCCAAGAGGCTCGGCCCCCGGTGTTTCAGCCTGTCCAAGGGGCTCGGCCCCCGGTGTTTCAGCCTGTCCAAGAGGCTCGGCCCCCGGTGTTTCAGCCTGTCCAAGGGGCTCGGCCCCCGGTGTTTCAGCCTGTCCAAGAGGCTCGCCCCCCGGCGGCTCTGCCTGTCCAAGAGGCTCCACCCCCAGCGGCTCCACCTGTCCAAGAGGTGCCGTCCCCAGCGGCACCGCCTCCAGCCAAGTCAGTACCAAGTCCGGCGATCCAAGCCAAGTCGTCAGCGCCAAGTCCGGCGCTCCAAGCCAAGTCGTCAGCACCACGTCCGGCGCCTCCGGCCAAGTCATCAGCGTCACGTCCAGCACCTCCGGTCTTGCCTGTGGCGGCTCCGCCTCCACTCAAGTTGACACCTCCAGTCCAGTCGGCGGTCCAGCCTCTAGTCTGGTCAGATCTGCCTTCACTCAAGCCTGTGTCTCCCCGGGCCAAGTCAGATGCTCCACTTCCAGCTAAGTCAGCGCCCGGTTCCGCACCTCCAGCCAAGTCAGCGCCCGGTCCGGCGCCTCCAGCCAAGTCGGCATCTCCAGTCAAGTGGGCGCCTGGTCCGGTGCCTCCAGCCAAGTGGGCGCCTCCAGCCAAGTCGGCGCCTGCCCAGGCTCCAGCAGAATCTTTCTCTGCCTGCAGCAGAGCCCGCAGTCAAGTCGTCAGCGCCACGTCTGGCGCCCACAGTCAAGACAGCGCCCGGTCCGGTGCCTCCCGTCCTGTCAGCGCCAGCCAAGTCGGCGCCTCCAGCCAAGTTGGGGCCTTCCCAGCCTCCAGCAGAATATTTGTCTCCACCTGCAGTCAAAATGTCAGCGCCACGTCCGGCGCCCACAGTCAAGACAGCGCCCAGTCTGGCGCCTCCCGTCCTGTCAGCGCCCATTCCAGGGGGGTAGTACTGTCCTTGTAGTCCCCAGCTCCCTCCAGGTTTCCCTCATGTTTCCCCCTAGTCACTTCATACTTAAGTTATCCCATCCCATTTAGTTTAGTATCCCCATAGATTTAGTGTTTGTTCAGGTGTATAGTTTAAGGTTTATTAGTTCTCTTATCTTTAGTTCTCTGTATAGTTATATTATCCTGTAAGTTTCTTCCTTTTAAACAATGTGTTCCTTCCCCATTTAGTTAGTCTCTCCTGATCCCTTCAGCTTACACTCCCCACACACCTGCTACCTGTTTCCCTAATTGCTTCCCTCTGTGTATAAAACCCTGTCTTGTCTCTCAGTGTTTGTCGGTCCATTGTATTTCAGCGTTATTTTGTCCCTTTCATGTTTTATCCAGGTTCGTGCTCATGAGAGATCTTCTGTTTTGTTTTTTGTGGTTCAGTTTTTTAGGCTTGATTTCAGTGCCTTTGGATTTCGGCACATCCTCCTTTGAATAAAGGGATTTGTTTTCTTAACCATGGTCTGCCTCTGGTCGTTCTGGGTTTTCTGCATCCTGGGTCCAAACCTCCTGCTCGTAGAGTCACAGATTACTGTGTTTTCATGACTTTAATAAGCAAACTAACCTCTGAGAGTGTACCAACACACTTCTGCAGCGTTTGTGTTTGCTGGCTCCGGTTCTCCTGTGAGGTAAAGCTAACAGCTCTGAATCCACCATAGATTACCAGAGGCAGTGGGGTCTCTTCTGGGGTTAATTGGTGCCAAAGAGTTGAAGCTAAACTGACACTAGACGGCCTGCGACCCATTTCCTTAATCTTTACATAACACAGCACGCAGGCCTCCTGGGAGTCCTACAGCCCAGCACGGTAGAGGCCAACTCCAGATGAAGAGGATAAAATCACTTGGCTGTGCTGGAAGGAAGAAAGGAAGGAGAAAAGTGGAGGTGGACCTCCATGTTGGAGCTGTAAATAATCAATCAGTGCTCTGGCATTAAAGCACCAATGGAGAATGAGGAGCGCGACTTCCTGCGGCAGCAGCTGTGAACTCTAAATCTCAGTCAGGGAGGCTGAATGGCGCCTGAGTTATGGCTGATAAATGTGTGTCGTTGTGTGAGTGTGAGCTTTCTAAACGGGCAACAATACATCAAGGATAAATCAATCACACAGGGTTAAGACAGAAGACGGGTCAGAGAAGCAATAACAATTGAGAGATCAAGGTGTGGACCCATGTCAGCTCCACAACCGGGGACCGGGCTGAAGGAACACCAGAGAGCAGGAAGAGGTCTGGTCCAGAACCCAGACGAAACATGATGATGCTGTTGGTAATAAAACAACATCGCTTCCTAATTTACCGTCTGTTCATGGTCAGCGTGGTTCTGTAGCTCCTATGATGAGAGAAGATCGATGAGGTTATTTTTTTAAACAGAATCAGTGTTGAGCTTGAGACTGAAATGGTGCAAATAATGTCGAAACACAATCTGTGCATTACAAAATAATAATAATAATAATAATAATAATAATAATTTCATTTTTCATTCCTACTTCAACTTTCCTTTTTTTCATTTCCAAAATATTTCTACTTTATTTTCTTAACTACAAATCAAACATAGGGTCATATGTTTATCAGAGCAGCCCATATAGCTTTCGACTGAGATCTTCTGCAACAAACAATGAAGTTTGAAACAATTAAACTTGGATTAAATCCTGTTTAATGACTTTCTTTCCTATATTGTCTGATAGATTTCATGCTGTCTGTGTCCACACAGGTTGAAAAGCACAGAAACTGATGATATTTTCTTGGTTTTAGTCCTGGTGGAGACAATCTGGACACATTTACTACACGCTGTGTGCCTCATTTTTTGCCCATTTAAATCTGATTTTCTTTTCATTTCAGTTATTTAATAACTATAAGGTTTAAGTTTTAATACCTCCTTTGTAATGAAAGCTGGTAAAATGGATTTTTAGGGGTCAAAATGAACACGGTTACTGACTAAATTCACTTCACTGAATTGTGAAGTTGTGTGCCTTTTTTGTTCTACAAGCTGAACTGCGAGACTAGTATGCCTACCTAGGTTTTTAACACACTTTCTTCTTGAGCATTACTTCAGGTGGAATTTCACATTATCCACAGCAACTATTAGAATCAGACCCAAAATGAAAGTTCCAAACCTGCCGCTTTTACTGGCCCAAATTACAGCCAGTAATACGCTCAGCCTCGGGTCGTGATTAGAGCTGCTCTGCTGCTGTGTGTGAGGAGTAGTAGTGGACTGGAGCGCGTACAGATGTCATTAATACTGCATTCCTGAGCGGCTGCAGCACCGTGGGATCTGATGGCCACCTTCCCACTGCCACTGCATGCCTCCAACTGGTTTAATAAATATTTCTGCTAAACAGGAAGTGGTATGACTTCACATGAAGGATATTTCTGCTAAACAGGAAGTGGTATGACTTCACATGAAGGAGGTAAAAAGTGGGGAACTAACGAGGGGCAACGGTGACCGGAGAGCTCATCCTTCAGGTTTAAAAACACCACAGGGAGAGCTTCAACAACATCTCAGATCCCAGAAACAAACAGAATCCACATGAACCAGCTGCCGTTCCAGATTTAAAATCACAGCCTCTCCACTGAGCACCAAGCTGAGCTTTGAAGCTAAACTAATGCTAAACATGAGGTTTGTTGTAGTTTGATCTTTGTTTTTACTGAACATGGACGATAGGTCCAGATATGACAGGGTTATCAGAAGTTTGTGGATGATGTTGGTTTTTCATGTTTCCTCTTGTTCCAGTGCTGACAAACTTCCTGTTGGATTCCTGTTTTCATCATGTAATCTGAATTGTTGACAGTTATCAGCAGTCAGGTTTTATATATTTTTTTGTTCAACAGCATTAGTATCTGGATTTTTTGGGTCAGATGAAAGAGCAGGAATTCTGGGACTGACTGCACTCACACACTTGTTCGTTTTGGATGATGCTCCCAAAGCTTACAGTTGTGTTTCTGACTGTTGCTTCCATTAGCATTGTTTTTTTAAACATCTTTGTGTCCATCCCTGTGTTTTTTATCCCCAAATCAGTCATGGCAGAGTTTGATCTTTAGTGTGTAGAGATATTGTGTCACCTCTTCTGCTACTGAAGCTGCTCTGCAGAGACATATTTGAGATATTCTGGCTCTGCCCAAATCCCATTGTTAAATTTTATTTCAGTTGTGTTTGTGCTGACCTCTGATCTAAAGTTTGAAGAGTTTAATACTAAATATATCAGGCATGCATTGCCTTTATTTATCCCAAAATGACAAACTGGAGCTTCAGTTCAAATATTTGTATAGAAATCTGAAAATGTGTTAACTTGTCTGCTCAAATAAGAACAAATGCTTCAAAAATATCCTACATGAGGACATAAAACAAAAAAGTCTGTTCATGTGTGGAAACTTTAATTTGAATTAAACTATTAAAAGTGTTCATCTTTATGTTTATTGAATTATGATAGACTATTGATGACAGCATGGGCATGATGAGTCTGATGAAGCTCTAAGAACATCAGGTTTATTTTACGTCTTGAAAACAAACTGGTTTTGGTGTACCTGTGGTATTTTCACCCCTCACAAAATCAAACTCCAGCGTGTTGTGAGCTGTAGAGAAAGAAAAAGGAACAGAAAAAGGCTCGTGGTTGTAACTCGGCACCGTCGGTGATGCTCCAGAGTCCAGATTCCTGCAGCGACTTGATAAAACACCGTGACGTCAGATCTTCAGTCTATCAAAACAACGTTAGGTGAAGATCTGCAGCACAACGGTCTGGGATCCACAGAGGTTTCCTTTGTCACTGTTTGTAGTATTTACATCTCTGTACACTGAAAAATACCTCAGAACAGAAAAAAAGAAAACTAAATACAGAACTGAAAGCCTACAACTCCAGTGATTGTGTAGAAAACATCTGCATTTCTACAAATGTCTTCATCAAGAGCTGTTGGTCTAAAAATGTCACCATACAGCCTCTGGAGTTGCCACACAAAAGTTAGATCAACCAAAATTCCAGTCCGACAAAAAACTGAGAATAGATAGGATTACACAGTATACTTAAGTAGGATTTACATGAAGTTTGTTCCCCTCGATTCCCCCCAGAAGATCTTTTAGTTCCACCACAGCTTAACGGAACGCACAAAACTTAAACTCCAGTACGTGAGTAGCTAAATAGTTTCCCACGACTCGTCCCAACGATGCGGTGTAGTTTCCATTCCTTCCACAGCAGCAAAAACCGTGTGACTTCTTCAGCTTTCATTTTTATTTTACATTTGATTGGGTTCTAGAAGGGGTGGCGGCAGCTGTGACAGGTGGGGGTCTAAAGCCTTGTTCGGTGATGCAGATATAAAAATGGAGAAGGAGGGAGGGTGAGTCAGTGCTGCTGGACAGTAAGTTATAGGCACAGGGAGCGACTGTAGAGGGGTAGGAAGGTGAGGCGGTAAGCACTGTGAGCTGAGAAACGGTAGGAACAGAGGTGGTGTTTAAAGTTGGAGAGGTGCACCCTCACAGGTAGATCTCCCTCTTGGAGGTCTGGCCAGTAGGGGTGGTGGCTGAGTGGCATTCCGCCGCCTGGCTCAGCGGGATCTCCTCCAGCCCAGAGTCTTTACCAGACGAGTCTCCGCTCCTGGGGTAGGCACTGCTGTAGGGTGTCATGAACCTCATGTTGGCCACTTTGGAGTTGTTTCCACCGGCGCCGCCACCACCCGGTCCACGCTCCTCTGTCATCATGGGCTTGGGGCTGCCATTCGCCATCAGATGCTCCTGTCCATCCATCTCCTGATAAGGCACAAAGGTGGAGAGCTTGGGGGTGCTTTTAGAAACCTTGCGGTTGGGAGAAGGCTGGCCGGGCATCCAGCAGGAGTCAGAGTGGCCAAACTCGGTGCACTCGTGGGTGCAGTTACCAGTCATCGCCACGTCGGGAAGAGGCCTGAGGTCTGCAGGAAACAAACACACGAAGAAAGGATCAGTCGCAGAAGCCAAAACCAAAGAGTAAGACATTATGGAATGTAGGTGAAGCTGTAGTTTGACCCAGAGGAATGTAATCATGGCTTCTTAAAGTCCCTCATTTCCTGAAAGGATGTATATCACTGAGAACCTTCTAAGCTGTTGTGTTATGGTTAAATATAGAAAATAATGCTGTCATCTGAAGCATATTGATGTGATCATATAGGTAAGGTAATTTACTCAATGCTCAGAATCTGTAGGACTGATTTGTGGCCCTCTTTCTGTAATGTAGGTAAGCTGTGGCAGCCATCTTGATTGGGTTGACTCAAAGATAAACTTTATGTGAGCGCTCTGTTCAAACTTTACCAATCAGTTTGAAGTTAGACTATGGTTTGTGAATGGAAAAAAAATAAATCACAATTGTATCACAATTATTTTTTTCTATTTTGACAATTCAAACGTTGTGGAAGTTATTTACCAGTAAAATACATGAATTTAAAGAGCAAGTCAACCCCTGCCAGATTCTTACTCAACTCCCTCTTCATGTTTGAAAAATGCCACGAATGCTGTTGCCTTGCAGACCGAGAGGGCGGAGCCGCAAACCAATACACACACACACACAGGCTCACAACGACATTGTGACATCATAAGGACCAGTTTACATCATAGCATACCTCTTAGCCAATAGCGGTGGCAGATTTTAATCAAAATACAGTGCAGACTTTTTACCTGACAACGGCACAACACTGCCAGTTTTAGGCAGAATATTTAAATTTTAACTAAGAGGCAATGAAGTACCAAATTATTGACGACACGTGTCTGCAGCAGGATTAGACACACATTTATGTAGTTTATCAGCAAAAAAAAAGTTGATTTGGGGGCGACTTGCTCTTTAAATTCTTAACCCTTCAAAAAATTCAGAATCCTTATAAAAAATCTTAAAATTCCATTATCCTGTCTGTCTGTCTCTCTGTCTATATCTATCTATCTATCTATCTGTCTGTCTGTCTGTCTGTCTGTCTGTCTGTCTGTCTGTCTGTCTGTCTGTCTGTCTGTCTGTCTGTCTGTCTGTCTGTCTGTCTGTCTGTCTGTCTGTCTATCTATCTATCTATCTATCTATCTGTCTGTCTGTCTGTCTGTCTGTCTGTCTGTCTGTCTGTCTGTCTGTCTGTCTGTCTGTCTGTCTGTCTGTCTGTCTGTCTGTCTGTCTCCTGGGGGGTTTGACTTAAACCAAGTTCCGGTTGGCAGCCACAGTGAAAAGTCTCCCTAAAACATACACAAACGTCTCCAAACAATAAAAGTCACAAAGCTAAATGCAGCGTTTAGAGCAGAACATTGACCCTGAGGTTCACTGATCGAGCAGACATGTGAGAATACACGTAGTGACCACTTAGAGATGGAGCAAGCTAGTGTTTAATGCTAGCAGCTAGCCGCTATAATCGGGTATGACGTGCTTCTTCAATGATTCATCATTGTTTATGTCCTCAGCTCTACCGAGCGCCCCAGCTAAACACACCAACACACTGCCTTAAACCTGCTCTCGGTGTGTCTGTTGTGCTGACAAAAGCAGACTAGCAAATGGCTTGAGTCGGCTGAGAGAAAATGTGCCAGTAGACACGTCCAGAAATAATGGCACAGGTGATAGGACGCAAATAGATGGTTCTACGATCTCCGAGCTTTGTTAGATCGTCATCACTTTATAATCCTTAACGATCTTATATCGTCAGATCGCACGGCCCTACTTCGTGGTCATATTTAAACAGAGTAACTTATTCAATGGAATCGAAAAACTAAAGGCTGCAGGTAAATAAGCAAAATGACAGCATAAAACTGGTTGTTTAAATAACTTCAACATCACATTCAGAAGTAGAGGCAGTCAAATATGTTTTTAAGGCCGATGCAAATACCAATTTTTAAAGAATATTGCTGTCGATGGCCAAAATCTAAAGCCGATTATTAAGGCAGATGTGTATACGTTTTAGCAGCATATTGATTGTGAAAGACAATTGAACACTCGCATTGTGCAAAATACATTCAAGAAGTCAATAAATCTCTTAATATTTATTGAATTTCAAATATAAAACAAACTTAAAATATTAAAAGTAAATGGTGTGTTGGGGTCCTTCTGCTCCTTTCTTCAGTCTAGGCGGCAGTTGGCCACAGAGGTGCCTGATTTTTTTATTTTTTTATGTATTGATATTTTTTCTATTGGCTTTTTAATTTTTTTTTGGCCGATGGCCGATATAGAAATAAATTGAATATATCTGTTGGTCTCTATTCAGAAGTATGACTGATTTTTAAAATTGAGATTGAGTACATTTTTTTTCTTGTTCCTAAATCTGATGAATTTAATTGGATAGGTGATGTGACCAAATATTTGGAGAATCAGAAAGCTCATTAATTATTCAGTCAGGCGAAGGAACAAATGAGGTATTTTAGGGTAATGTTTTTGTTTAGATACATATTAAAAATGCCAAAAAGTATTTAATTTGTTTTATCTCGCATGAAGAAAACCAATTTCCTTCAATTAAAACTAGCTCATGTTTAGTTTTTACTGTTGTCACCGGTTTGAGCTGATTTTCTGTTCAGCACAGCAGAACATTTCAAACAGCGCTCCTAAGTGTTAAAGTCGACTGTAAATATCACTTCAGCATGAAGACGAATAAAGGTTTTCAATTACTAACATTGGCATTTCTGTGTGCAAGGATCTAATAAATGCTGCTTTTGTTCGGTTAAAGAAAATGGCAGAGTCATAGTGGTAGCTGGCGAGAGCTCTTATTAACACTGTCATTATCCCGTCACACACACACACACACACACACACACACACACACACACACACACACACACACACACACACACACACACACACACACACACACACACACACACACACACACACACACACAGCTCCATCTATTTGTGGGTAATCAATTAAAGCTCTGTTTATTTTTCAAGTCACTATAGTTCATAAAATGCCAGGAACGCCACCTAATTTGGCTGCTGAGTAATGGAATCCAAACATGGAACTCGGGATGCTGAGCGTGAAACAGGATCCGATTTCTTTAAAACAAAAATTAAAAAGATGAAAAATACAAGCTCAGGTTAATTAGAATGCTGCTTGAACAGGAAATTAAGGTAAAAAACGATATAAATACATGACTTATTGGAGAAAAAAAGATGTATCTCCTATGCAATGATCTTGCATACATTCTGTTTGAAAATGTCCCTTTTGTTTTTTAAACACATTTTCTGGTTTTCTGTCTTTTAGGCCAGCAGACGAGAACTGACAGACAGCGAGGCAGAGTTTGCATTTTAAAACAAAAATCAGAGCTCCAAACGGGGAAAGGTCAGAGATGGAAGCAGAAATATCAATGCGTATGCAGAGAGTAACCTTTCTTCTGTGCGTGACATTAGATCATTCTTTGATACTGCAGGCTGGAGGCTCACGGGGGGAGGAGGGTGTCGATCCTCCCAGGGAATGGCACTTATTTCTCAAAATGCCCACAGCTTCATGCATAATTTACATTCATTGCCTTTTTTTAAAGTAGCTACAGTCGGCTTTTCTGTCTGTTTGCAGGTTGATGTGTACGTTCTAATCCTGGGGAGTGCTGAGTAGCGGGCGCGCTTCTCTTTCCTGGCTTTCACCTCCTTATATTCTCACGCCTGCCGCCGGCATGGATTTCAGTTTCTAAGCACTTCCCATGCAAAAGCAAGGTGCTTGCAGAAAATGTAAAGTCATGTGCGAGCAGCTGCTGGGTTCAGAGCGACTGCTTAATAAGTGCTCAGCCTTCAAACGTCGTGTCAGCAGGAGGCTGATGGAACACGTGCTTCTCCAGAGCAGATCCAAACTAATTCCCCTCAACTGGACCAAAGCCTGCGGGACAACTCTGACTTATGGAGCATTTCTAGTTTCTGGGACGTTGCTATTGTGTTGGTTGTTGTTCCCATCAGCAACCAGCTTCTTTGGTCGTTTCTGTTCTTACTCATGTTTAGTTTGTGATGACTTACTTTGGTTTTCTTTTACCTCGCTCTTTTGTCACTGGAATGTTTAACATTTTAAACCATGATATTCCTAATGGAAGAAAATTGGGAAAGAAGGAACTGTGACTTAAGAAAATCTGTGGCTAAAGCAGCCATTTTGACACAAGTGTTATACATTCTGATTTAGTGTGATTCCAACAAAAAGAAACATCTTTTCTGACTAGACTGTCTCCACCAGCCACAATCTGGTAAGATGCTGGGTTTATTTCCGCTTCAGGCCAGTAACAAGATGGCACCTGTGCTTGGCTTTTCCACGGGTACTTCCTACCCTTTCAAACTAAACTAGGTTTCTCCTTTCCACCATGCTTTTCACTTTCTTTGGCACTGTCCTGGCTAATACCTCGTACAATCACCAGACTCGTTTATCCTTCCATGATCATTCAAGATCAGTAAAAACACGCTATGGCCTTGTTTATGTTTGTGAGGTGCTGAATCTGAGCCAAGTACCTCTAGCAATTTTTTTTCTTGTTTTGTTTTTTTGTCCGCAGCATTATTTTCTAAAACAAGTTTGAATTTCACCACGTACATATTTGCCGCAATGCTGACCCGGCATCTGGGAGCCTTAGATTGTTTATAAGTGGTCAGACCGTGGCGGTAATGTGGTGCAATCATGTCCTTTCTACAAAAGATTACTAGATGGTGGTATAACGTGGATATGGAGCAGTCTCTGCGCTGCTGCGGACTTCACTTTCAGTTGGACCTACTTTGCTTTTTATTGCGATCAAAGCCGTGTTTATCACTTTTTTTTACAAGCCGCTCCAAAAGATGGCTATCACGTATAGCACAGCTGAGCTGAGTTCCAGCTCTAAAGGAGTGAAGCTCCTGGAGCTCTGCATCGCTCCAACTTATCATCTCAACAGATTCTGAAGGGAGCAAAACTTACTGCTGTTTTTACTTTCATGTTTAACATACAGAAGTTTTCAGCCGGAGCTTGGCAGAAACTCCT